TGTCCCCGCCCCTGCAGGCCAGGCCGCGGTGGCCTCCGTGGGGCGGACACGGACAGAAACAGCTCCAGTGGGGAGTCAGGGTGCCTGAGTCACCCCCCCCTGCGCCAACACACACACTAGGATGTGGGGGCATTTCTCACCTGGGCGGCAGGGAGCCCACAGCCCAGGCCTGCGGGCGGCTCAGAAAGGTCACGCACCGCAGTTCCTCCCAGGGTGACCCCGGCGGGAGGGGCCCCCAGAGCGAGGATGGGTGGGCGGGGGGAGAGGCAGAGGGAGAAAAGACTCATGTTCTGCACAAGAGGGACCTACCGTGACACAGACACACTGCGTCCGCCCTGCCCCCAGGAGGTAAAAAAGGCTTCGCCAGTCAGCAGGAGATCTCAAACCACTTCTCAGACACGAAGGCCACGGGGATGAGGTGCCGATCCGAAGAGGAGGGTCTGCAGTGACAGAAAGGCACGGCTGGCACGGCTGGTCCAGGCCCACAGGCCGCGCGGGCCCGCTGCACAACCGGCTTCTCGGGGCACAGAGAACCGCCGGAGGGCGGCGCTCAGCTGGACCCCTTCGACAGGGAGGACAGGGAGGCCCCTCCTGTGGCTGACGCCCCTTCCACCCCGGACGGCCTTGGAGGTCCCAGGGCCTGGGGACCGTCCCGGGAGTGCTGTGGAGGGGAGGCAGGGGGCTCGGGCCCCGGGGCCTGGGTCCCGGGACAGGCACAGAGCGTGGGTCGCTGCCCGCGAGGATGGGACGGGTTTAGCACACACCGCAGGGCGGGCAGGCCTGGCTCCTGAAATGGCACCCCTGTCTGTCACCTTCCAGACGAAGCTGCCACTTCCCAGGCCAGCAAGGGCCGACGGAGCTTCACCTTCCACCAAAAAGCAAGCACCTTTCCACCCACGGCCCCTCGCCAGGGCGCGAGCATGCCCGCTGTGCCACCCTGCCCGTGCCACCCTGTCCATGGACACCCTGCCCGTGGACACCCTGCCCGTGGACACCCTGCCCGTGCCACCCTGCCCGTGGACACCCTGCCTGTGCCACCTGCCCGTGCCACCCTGCCCATGCCACCTGCCCGTGGACGCCCTGCCCGTGCCACCTACCCATGGACACCCTGCCCGTGCCACCCTGCCTGACACAGGGGCAGAGCGGGAGACAAAATGAAACAGGACCCATCACCGTCCCCCGCCCGCCCCCAAGGCTGGGCGCTGGCTGGCAGGGTTCCTGTCCAAAGAGGCGGCACAGTCAGTGAAATGGCGTGAAAATCCTTCCACCAAGTCCTGGGAGCCGGCCCTCCGCAGGCTGGGGGTGGCCCCGAGCTGCCCAGTGTCCTCGAGTGAAACAGGTGGTGATGGGAAGGTCCTGAGGCCTCCCCTCTGGGAAAGGGGCGTCCCACACACAATGTGGACACGCAATGGGGAGCAGCCGCTGGTTCCCGGAGGGACAGGCTGTATCAGCCCCGGGCCCTCCAGCTGAAGTCACCCCATCTCCCCAACTGGTTCTGGGAGAAGCCCTTTCAGGGGAAGTCACCCCATCTCCCCAACTGGTTCTGGGAGAAGCCCTTTCAGGGGAAGTCACCCCATCTCCCCATCTGGTTCTGGGAGAAGCCCTTTCAGGGGAAGTCACCCCATCTCCCCAGCTGGTTCCGGAGTGCCTTGGGCAGGGTCGCCAGCTGCCGTCCGGCACTGACAGGAACCCCCAAATCCACCTGCCTTCCTACCCATTTCCTCCTCAAATTAAGCTGGTGCGGGATTTGTTTTAATTTATAAAATGAGGCCTGAGTGTGCGCCGCTTTTAGAAGGGAGCTTATTGATGTTGGAATGTAATTCCGGACGCACTGGCCGCTGACTCAGGTGCTGGAGGGCGCCCAGCGCGTCAGGGCCGTGTGCGCTCAGGGATCGCTCCTGGTTAATAAGAACATGGCTGGAGTCGGGCTGGGATTCCATGGTTTTGCTCGATTCGCTGCGGACACTTTATGGATGCAGGTCAGAGACACTGATGGGGGGACCCATTGGGAAGGCTGGCACTGGGGACTACAAAGCTGGCTTTGAGCTGGGGGAAGGGGGGGCGGGGGTAGGAGTGACGCTGCCCCGGGGCACCGAGGTGGGAAGGGGCATGGCATTCGTGAATGCCTTGCCCAGTGCAGGTCGGGCTGCTTCTGGCGGGGGCGGCGGCCTTTTTTTTTCTCTCTGGGTGGGGGAAGGCCCTTGTGTTTGCTCGAATCCTCAGACCCAGGTGAAGGTACCCTCCACCCCGCCCGGTCCGCAGCCCCGCGACCACACTGTATGCCCCCCGTACCACACGAACGTGGACTTGTACTCGCCCACGGAGCGCAGCGTCTCGTCGGCGTAGGCGGGCACGGAGGCACGCACGCACTCGTGGGAGCACTGCAGGCCCTCGCTGTAGGCCGTGAAGATGTCCAGGCTGCTGGGCACGCGCGCCGGCGGGAAGTCCGTCAGGTTCTGGCAGCTCTCCTCCTGCTGGTCCATCTTCCGTGGGCGGCCGTTCCTGCGGGGGTGCCCGCTCTGCGCGCAGCTGGGGGCGGACGTGGGGTGTAAGCCACCCGCCTTGGGCTCCAGGCGCTCCTTACACCCTGTCACTACTAAACGGTGACTCCCAGCCTCCGGGAGATCAACCGCAATCCAGCCATCAGCACTTTTTAAAAATAAAATTTGAATTTTAAATGTGTCCCATACCGCTCTAGCCGATCTGGCTCAGTGGGTAGAGCGTCTGCCTACAGACTGAAGGGTCCTGGGTTCAATTCCAGTCAGGGCCCAGGCCCAGGTTGTGGGCTCAATCCCCAGTAGGGGGGCGTGCAGGAGGCAGCTGATCCATGATTCTCTCATCATTGATGTTCCTATTTCCCTCTCCCTTCCTTTCTGAAATCAATAAAAAATATATTTTTAAAAAATGTGTCCGCTTTTGCAGGGAGGGCCACGAGGTGAGGGTTGAGCTGTCTTATCCCAGAGCTGCGTCCTTGTTTGGCCAAAGAAGGTCAGCCAACCATGGTGCTGACTCAGTTTCCCCAGGAACGCCTTGACGAGATGGAAATGGCGGGTCCTTGCGGGGAAACTTTGGTGCTCTGTCAGGGCCTGGTCACGTGTTTCGGAAGGGACTATGTCCTTCTCTGGGGACAAGTGGGACGTCGGCCCCCCTGCCACGCCCACGAGGTGGGAATAAGACTGGACCGTCCTTCCTTCCTTCGCCACGACTGGGTCTGTGGGGGGAACTGTTCTGCGCCCCCAGGAGGCCCGCCACAGTTCCCATTCCTCCGGACCATGGAAGCTTCCAGATGCCGCCCAAAACGAACACAGGGACCCAACCCTGTGGGCCGAGGGATCAGGGGAAGTGACAGTCAGACTCGTCCCTGTCCCTGGATGTCCCTCTGACGGGCTCACCAGCAGGATGGGTGGAACTTCCGTCCCCATGGAGGAGGGTGGCAAGGAGGGAATTTGGGGAGCCCCACTTTGAGGGACCTCAGTGGGGCACCAGTTCCCTTGCCCTCTCTTCCCTTCTATGTTCAGCGCTGATGCCCAATGAGGGGTTGCAAGGGGGTTGTGTACCCAGGCCCCTGAGTCAGGTGTCCCCCTGCCCGGCTCCCCTGGGAGAGGCCTCCTGCCTGCTGACTGGAACCGCCCCCACCCCTCCTACCCCCAAGGTCACGGAACCCACTCATCCCTCTGGGTCGTCTTCCCTGAGGGCTTTGTGAGGGTTCGCTGCAAACGCAAGCGTGTGGGGCAACCAAGAGGAAGCTGGCGGCCTGTCACCCAGCGTGTCACAATCCGCTGTCCCCTGGGGGAGGGTCATCCTTCATCAGGACGGTCGGTGGGACTGGGGGGCCAGGCACCATGTGGCCCGCCCCTGCCCAGGGCGCCGCTGGAAGCTGAGTGTGGCCTCGTCCTCTGCCCCAGGAAACTGGCCGTCGGGGGGGACAGGACGGTGCCCAGGCCTCGCTGGCCTGTGGGAGGTCCTTTCTAGCCCTGTGCCTCCCCATCTGCCTTCACTGACCCCCCTGTCCGCCTTTGCTGACTCCCCTGTGCCCCCTGTCTGCCTTGACCCCCCTGTGCCTCCCCATCTGCCTTCACTGACTCCCCTGTGCCCCCCTGTCCGCCTTCGCTGACCCCCCTGTGCCCCTCCATCTGCCTTTGCTGACCCCCCTGTGCCCCCCTGACCGCCTTTGCTGACCTAAATACCAGCTTTCTAACATCTTCCGTATGTGGATGCCCGGCTGCTGCCACCCACAGCCCTGCCAGCTCTGCGGGCAGCGGGGGAGCATTTGGGCGAATTACTCTGCGAGGGAGTGTGAGCTTTGATGCCAGAAGGAGCCACGTTTGCTGCGGGAGTGGCTGCAGGCAGACAGGGGTCACCCAGCAGCTCCGGCTTTTCCCAGGGGGTAGCAGGTGTGTGTACACGGCGAGCCAACCTCAAAATAGGCCAATTTCCAGGAGGAAATAAGCAGAGACAGGCGCCAGGAGCACAGCAGTCACCTGACTCACAGACGGGGCGGCTCGCGGAGGCAGGAAGCGGGCAACCAAACTGGAAATAATGTGGTTTCCAACATAGTTTCAGCTGACAAATTTAAGGCTGACTAACTCCTAAATTGAAAGAAACATTGTCTAAAATTAGTACGAGGCCGGGGGCCAGCGAGGGCCAGCGAGGCCGGGGGCCAGCGAGGACCAGCGAAGCCGCTGCCAGGCTGACACTGGGAAGTGAAGAAAAAGGCTTGGGGCCCAGTCGGTGTGACTCAGTGGTTGAGCATCAACCCATAAACCACGACGTCACGGGTCAGATTCCCAGCCAGGGCACGTGCCTGGGTTGCAGGCTCGATCCCCAGCAGGGAGTGTGCAGGAGGCAGCTGATCGATGACATTCCTCTGGTATTGATGCTTCTCTCTTATCAATGTTTCTATCTTTCTATCCCTCTCCTCCCCCCTCTCTCTAAAAATCAACACAAACATATACTTCAAAAAAAAAGAAAAAGAAAAAGGGATGCGCCCCAGGGGGCAACCCAAAGGCACTTGGCTCCGGGAAAAGGGGTGCAGAGGGCACGCCTGTGGGATGGGGGCTGCGGAACGAGGGGCTGTGCTCTGGGGGGCCCGGGCCTGGCACAGAGGAAACAGTCCCCCGGGCTGTGCCAAGTGTGAGAAGTAGGACCCTTTTATGTGCACGCCCCGCCCCGCCCCCCCCGGAACCCCCGCAGCCTCCATTTCCAGACGAGAAGGGCCGGGACCCTTACCAGTTTTTTAAGACAAGAGTTGTGATCAGAGCAGCTATTACCATGATGAGGGAGACGGTGATGGTGACGATCTGATGGACGGCCAGACCTGGAAACAGAGCGGGAGGGAGGTGTGAGACGAGGTCATGTGATGAAGGCGTCCACACAGGGCACCTGAGCCTGTCCTGTCAGCGCCGGGTCCTATTGGTGAGCAGCCTGCACGCGCCCGCGAGGGGCCGCGGGGGATGCTGCGTG